ATGTATTTATTTTTATTGAGACAATATTCATATAAGATAAAATTAATCATTTTAAAGTATTTACAAACGTTTGTATCACTTCAAAAGGAGGGTTCCTACCCATTATGCAGTTGTCCCCAAACCTCTCAGTCCCAGCCCCTGGCGACCACTAATCTATTTTGTCTCTATGGATTTACCTATTTTGGACATTTCATATCAATAGAATCATACAATAGGTGACCTTTTGTGTCTGGCTTTTCACTCAGCATAATGCTTCAAGGCTTATTCAGGTTGGAGCATGGATCTACTTTGTTTCTGGCTGAGTAATAACGCATTGCGTGTATGTACCATAATTTATCTATTCATCAGTTGATGGACAGTTGGCTTGTGTCCACCTTTTGGTAATTGGAACTGGTGCTGCTATGAACATGTGTATAACATGTATTGTTTGAGTCTACTTGATTTTTGCTGAGTATCACAGAATCAATTCATGCGCTCAACAAATATTTGTTGAATTAGAATTGCTGCATCGACCACTGATTTTGCAAATGTTTTTCTTTCCTGGATAAAAGTCACACAATCTTAAAAATGTTTGTGGTAGGAACTTTATAAGTCATCTTGTTCAACCCCCACATCATGAAACTACACGCACTTAAAGCATGAGTCTATTTGGAAGGCCCTAAATACAGTTTGCATCGTGGTGTGTGGTGCCCTACTGATGTAGTTCTTTGTTAACTGAATGTGTACAATATGGCTTTTGTTGTCACAAGATGGTTCTCCTTGAGGATGACTGTATGAATTTAAATTTAGTAGCTTGTCATTCTTTTATTTTTCTTTTTAAAAAAATTCCATAAAAATTCCACTACCATCAGCATCGTTTGTATGAAGGAGATATAGCAGACAGTCTTAACTGGTTTCAGTGATAAGATTAATTTTTGGTCCAAAACAGTTTATGAATGTTTCAACATGTGTTGTGAGATTTATTTTTGTCTCCTTTCTTTGCAGTTTAAGACTCTGTCTTACTTCGTGTTAGTCACTTTTTTATTAAATGAACCAGCACTAAGTCCTCACCTTTGCAAGAGAATGTTAACATTTCCTAAACCATCAAAGTTAAACATTTTTTTGTATCTGACTTTACCTCTCCCTCAGTTTTTAGCAGAGCTAAATGAAATTGACAAGGGGTGGGGTCTGGTACATTATACCCACTCTGGGCATCAAACCAGGGAAATTCATGACACAATGATTATCCCATCATCTTAATTTAGTAAAGCTGATAGCAATGAAAGTCAAGGTTGGAAGACAGGGACTTGATCTTCAATGCTGTACCCCCCAAATACCTGGAATGGTGCCTGGGACACAGTAGGGTTCCAAAAAATACTTGTTGGATGAGTGAATGAAATTAATTTGACTCTGGTTTCTGCATCAATGCTAATAAAAGTAGATGTAATTTTAAAAAAAGCATAGTGAAACTGAATTCCTGTCATCTTATAAAGATTATTTTAATCATAGACTCTCTTAGAAGTTATATTTTTAATTGTTATCTATCTGCCATGGTTCAGAAATTAATTTTTTTTTTTTTACTTTCAAGAGTGTTCTTACTATGACAGCTTTTGTTTCGTTTTCTGTTTTAAAAGTTGTATAAATCCTCGCATCTTGACAGTTTACAAAAGTACTCTCCAGCCACTACTTTAGTGTTTTTGAATGGCGATAAGAACCTTTAGTTCCTCAGTGAGAGATTTAAAATACGTCTAAACAGCAATGAAATAATTTAAAACCATCATTTATGGTAATTTTCTCTGAATGTGTGGGATTATAACTGTTTTGTTTTCTTCATTTTGCTTGCTTTACTTTTATGTAGTGAACATCTATTGTTCTTTAAAAAAGAAAAAAAAATACTGGAAAAAAAGTCCCCAGTTACTTGGAACCTGAAGTCTTACACTCCATCCTTTTCAAAACTAATCTACTATGAACCAAGTGTTATTCTGAAGATGCGGTTAGAGCAATGGATGAGTCTACAATCCTTGCTCTCTTGGAATTTGCAATCTAGTAGGGGTGAAGTAAGACAGATAATAAAGAAAATAATAAATGTGCTGTAATGCAGAAAACCGAGAGAGCAAAGAATTACTGTTGACGAGCTGTGTAGCAACAAACCACAGACACCTAACACTTTGCAGAGAATATTTCTACTCATTTTGTTTGAGGATCTTAACCTCATACCTTTTTTTTTTAATAAAAAATAAATCAAACTAATGCATGTACATAATTTTAAAAATGAAGTAATTTTTATAATGAAAAACAACACTGCTCACTCCTCATCCCCCATTTCCCAAGGGACCAATAATTTTTTGCTTTTTGTTCTTTTGGTGTTAACTTCCTTATTAGTAAATATATACTTACATTGTTATTTATCATCTGTAGACATTATCTATTGATGTTCTGTGATGGCTACAGTGCCACTACCTGTCCCTCTCAGCACAGTTCTACCCCTCTTTGTAGTTATCCCTATTGGTTACATTAATATCATTATAAGTTTTTGTTGTTGTTCCGGAAAACCAAAACAAAAAGAAAAACCCCAACAGCTATTTATCCACTTTCCCACTCTGTAAAATGAAGATTTGGGAGCTCCTACCTGTTTCTACTTCTGCCACTTCCATCTACCACCGTCTTGTCTGCTGAGCTGTTCTAATACTTTTACAGAAGACGTGCATCTAAAAAAGCTCAGTGTCTCTCAATCTCAAAAACAGAATGTGAATGTTCAATTTGAAGTAGGACTGAGTAATTTCCGTCCTAACACCTGCCACTCTGTAGGACTGAACAATTCAATGCCCTAGGAGTAGAGCTGGGGCTAGGCCTTGGTCACAGAATTTAAGGGGCCACTAAAAACTCAGCCATCAAGGAAAACATTTTAATGTAATATTTAAGTCAAAATTGATGCAAAAAGAAAAAATCCATGGTGAACAAAACATCAGCATCTTAAAATAAAGACAGGCTCGGCAGACTGAGGAGAGAAATAAACAGGTGTCTGTAGCTGCGCCCACCATTGGCAGTGGTCCTTGCCTCGCTCTGTGACATCTACGATTACACAGGTTGCCTATTAGAGCCCAAACGTGTTTACATGCGGGTGAGCTGTGCCTTTCGAATTAGGAATACAGCTACTGAAATGCAGGGGTGCCACAACCACTTTGTCCTCGCAGCTTGCAAACCAAGGCAATGGCGAATTAGGAAATCGAATTTTTTTGTGATTTAAAAGGTGAATCGAAGGGAGCTCCACCCCCCGCCCCGTCCTTCCCCGCTCTGTGCATGCCTGTTGGTCCAGGCAGCACCGTGCTTTGAATAAAGGTCAGCAAAGGGGTCACCCTTCTGATTATTCCCTTCTACCGGGGAGGAGGAGGAAGTCCGGGCCCCCTTATCCGCCACTGAGCGGCTGCGAAACCCGGGGCTTCCCTAACAGCTGCGAATTCCTCCCCGAGGCTGCGAAGCTTCTGGGGTTGCCATGGCCCGTGGGAGTGAAATGCTGGCCGCCCTCTGTCTCCCCTCCCGTCCCTTTCAAAAGCTTTGAAAGGAGATCCCCGAGGGGAGGGAGGACGGGACTTTAACCGGGGCTTCCGTCCAAGCGGCAGGGCGAATAAAAGAGGCTTTTCTCAAACTAACGGAGCCAGTGCGGGGCTCGTTTCGAGGGCTTTTTAACCCTCCGTCTTTCCCTGGAGCTTTGGAAACGGGGAGCAGGGGGGGCCCTTCCCCAGCTAAGCTTGCTGCGGGGGGGGCTCGTCGGCCTTTCCCCAGGGATTCCTCCCCTGGGGGTCCTGTCCTGGGGGGGGCAGGAGGGCAGAGGGGGTGCTCCCTAAACTAAAGCTGCGGTGGGCAGCGCCTCCCAGCTTGTTTCAAAGGATTTCTCGCCCCCCCAAAAAGGAATCAGCCCCAAACCAACCGGCTGCGGTCCAGGCGGCGGGGAGCCATCGGGTGCGACGCGCACATTCTGGGCACACCTGCAGCGAG